ATGTGCGAGATATATGGGTCTCATATAAACAAAGATGGCGACTTTGACTGTTGCGCAGATCAACGAGTACGAACTGAGACGTTTCCAAGCTTTGATTAGGCAATTTTCATGTGATTGGAAGGTATCGAAGGAGTCACCGTCGGTAATCAGTGCAAGTTCCATTTGAAGAACGCATTGGATTGTGGGAAAATCAATGTTTATCAACACAAATGTCGCACATGCGCAGCGCGACGACTACCGCGCTTTAAAAGTAACATTTCTATATAATAAGTAAATAAGTACAATGTAATTGAAAGTAAACGAATTAAAATTAAATATATTAGATCTCTTCTTTTCTTAAAAGCATAAACTGTGTTTTTTCTCTCAAGGTGATAGTATCTATAGTCATAAAGTGTAAACATTAGGCATGTTCGGGCCACTGACACATTTTCTAGGAATGCGTCATCGAAATATCGCACTATTATATATAAATAGTACATTCAGAATAGAATTATTTTTATTCAATACTACCCAAGTCACAGATTCTTTTCAAAGTTGTCACGACGACTCTATATTTTTGTATCTTTCTTCCTCAGTGTTAGGCAAAAAAAAAATAATCATATGCCAGAAGACCAATTTCGTAATTTTTATTAAGTCATTATGTTTTAACATGTTTAAAATGGACATTTCCTTGTTGAATCATACTCTCGCTATTTCATGTTATTTTACTAGTATTTCGTTTTCATAATCATTGTCATCATTTAAATGTGAAATTAGATTTCAGTTCTAAAAATTTCAAATTGAAATTAACAGTTGAATTTCGATTTCGATTTGATTCCTGAATCTGATTCGCACTAATTTCACTTGAAATTCGCAGATCCTATTTTGCACAAAACTACCCCCCCCCCGCACACATCCTAGTGAATGCACTGTATTTCGTTCAATATGTCTCTTCGTAGTTTTCAGTTGAGTGGCGGGCATATCGATTTATTTAACACATATGCAGCCCTGTGGCACTCAAGTAAAACCCGGGCAATCAACCGCAATGCTCGGTGCATTTAAAATAACACCCTTTTTTGCAGACAACGTGAAGAGAGGTCACGGCAAAAAAAAATAATGAGCGACTTAGGATGATTTCATGTGTGTTGGAAAGAACGATTTGCATAATATAAATGAAATATAATGGGTTATATCTAATCTTCACGCATGTCTAACCCGTTGATCACGTGATCTGATTATCAGTGAATTGTAGCTGGCCGCGTAGTGATCCGTGAAATCATTCGTAGATGACGCCGCACGTCATTCAGTCGGTGTTATGTCACGTGGTGTTACGAGTGACGTATTCCAATCAAGGGTAATTTAATTACCATATGACGTCATCGCATTGTGAATTAACTCAGCCACTCGCAGTAATCATTCGGTATTATACGTATAGGGGGCTATTAATCCCGCGCTTGATTCAGTGAGATCCTTGGGAAAACTAATACACTGTATTAATTTATGACGATGTTCACTGTACGATGTCAACAACTCTCGGTCATTGACCCTTTTGTACAAATAATTCAAACTGCACTTCGCTGTGTTTCAAAAGCGTTTCAACAAAACAACTAACTTGAATTTCATAAAGTATCTCAGTCGCTATTTATATTTTTCGTCTTCGTTGAAATTGATATTCCGGATGCCAACTTAGTTTATAATTCTGAAAATTAAATTTCAACAGAAATTATTTTAATTTTATTTTATTAACGACCTTGAATGCTTATTATCTTACGAACATTAGCATAAATGCACGGTGGCGGGATGCGGTGTCACCTTGTAGTGTCGATTGATATTATTGTTCTGGAATAATAATGTAATAACAATCAAAACATCAAAAGCCACCGTCACCATCGTATTGTTCTTACTCTCCCCGCGCACGCTCACTGACTGACTGTGCAAGTTTTTGCACGCGCATTGACTGGCAATTTAAGGAGTATTCACCTGTTTTTTTATAGGTTAGAAATTATTGTTGTTGTTACATTTCGCTGACATTTATATCTGCAATATATTTCTGGAATTTGATGTACTATAGTATACATGTAAATAAACAAATCAAGAATGTAGGTTATTTCGAGCATTTACGTCTGCACCATAGACGTAACTCAGCTATAGTTTTTGCATAACTAATAGGATGGCGGCGATTATACGCGATACTTTTCATATATTTAATATATTATAACTAGTATATATATTTGAATTTTAATAATTATTTTAATAAGTGTTCATGGCTGATTCTCATGGCCATCTACAAGGGTAACGTTGACATTCATTTTTAAAGGGTACCAGTAGTTTCAATAGTTTCAGTGTTTCAACATGAGTCGATGCTTGCACTAAGTTTTTTAGTATTACACAAATGCTCGTGTTGTCATGGTTTTGATAAATTAGCTGTTCGCTGTAATAAGAATATCATCGTCAGATTTTCATGATGCTATTATTTCTATTTTACTGCTTTTCCCGCGTAATATTCACAAGCTATCGTACTATTATATATCCTATATAGACACTAGATTCAGACACACATTTTTACTTCATTCTCAAAATTAGTGTAAACGAGGTCATTCTGTGGAAATCAGAGATTTTAAAACAAAGGTAGTCATGATTGCTAGAAACCGTGAGTATGAGAATGATGTATGTGGAATAATTCCTACCCATGGTTACTATTGAATCCTATGAAATTGTACCCGAATTTACACACACACACACATGAAATCGAAGCGTCAATATTAATTTGCAAGTTCTCGGTTTATCTACTACCATTTTATTTACTAGTGATAAAGATTCATTGCCCGGGAGGCCTGGCTATTTCGAATATTTAATGGGACAACAATGATTAATATTGCCAATGAACACAATGATTTATGCAGTATGTAATTATCGGCCTGTTTTGCTCTTAACTGTAGTTGGTATGTTTCTCTGTCCGGAAATTACCTACACTAGTAGTATTATTTCTAAAATCTATATATTCATGTTTATCGCTGCGCAAATAACAGTCAACAGCAAAAGTTATTTACATGTGTTTGAGCAAATCAACAAAACGTATGTGACATTATAATATCAGTTACATAGTTTCCATATTTTGATTGAAGATGAAATCACAAATGCATAACTATGTCTGTAAAATACTACAATCGTTTGTGTTTGTTGGGTTACCAGTTGAGTTTTTAACAGTCATTCAATTGAACATGGGCCACATTGCTGAGAATGTCATAATTATTGTAACAGAATCGATTCGAAATGATTTAAATGCTGTGGACTTACTCGTGCCTTCACTTACTCATTCACGTTTTCCATCTTATATAATTTTGCCTTATTCAAATCAAATCAAAACGATGTGATTGGCTTAAAAAAATCATTAGCACCGCCTACAATGTCGCGAAGCCGCCCAATCGATCGGTCAAAATATTGTTTTCAACCGTCGTTTACGCTAACAACAACCACCAATGATGTTTCCCCAATGGAACGCAATGATCATGATCTAAGTAACCGTTTATTAACAAATATACTAACTACAATTCAGTGACCCATTTGTCACACAAAACTTACATATGTTAATTCAGACTCTATTGTAAGACACGCGAGTCCAATGAAGAGCAATATGATTATTGTTCGTTTAATACCCCATTAGGAAAAATAAATAAATGTCGCTCTTATTATATATCTTATAAAGACAGAAGGTATACGTATATATAGTTAAGCCTGGCACTTGTAACACCGTGAAACCGGACAGTCGGGAATATGGACATACAACATTGTCCTGTCGCGGTAGCACCGTGACGAAAGCACCGGAAATAAGGGTTACCGATTACAATAAACGCAGCGTTTTTTGTTTTTTTTTACAGTTACTGGATTATTTAGCTGCGGTGAAGTTAAAAACAACGTGTTTTCAAAGACCAGTTGCACTATAATTGCTGGTACTTTCCTTAGCGTTTTTTTTTGTAGGAGATTGTTGGAGGGGATTTTCTGACAGATGTCGCTGCGATTAGTTTACACCAAAACAATCCCCTGGGATTAAATCGTCGACCACTTAGAACTATTGACAAATCCTCTTCTCCAGACCCGATGCAGATATTTCCAGCATGTCAAGGCGAAAAACGAATCTCAAATTTGAATGCTTTAGGGAGGACCTGCCCATCGCCATCACAGAACTTTATCTGAGGCAATGATAAATAATCGTGATTTCCCTAATCTCTAATTTCCCAGCGCGAAATGAACTATCGATTATTTTATTTTTTATTTTAAATGCTTAATCAGAGCCCCCACCCCCTACTAGTTTAGGACAGTTCTGGCGCGGTGGACAAAGAAAGCTAGTTTTTGCTTCGGGGAATACAAAAGGTGGCAAACAATGCAACGCGCGGAATGATCTAAATACATATTATGGGCTGCCTACGTCACGGCGTTGAGTATTTATAGCCAAGTACTGAGTGTTTAGTTTAAACCAGTCTCGTCCACGCTGTGTGTGTGACTCACTGTACTATACTGCGTAGTTGACGTCGCTGCAATGGAACAGAGCACATCCACCTACCAAGAGGTCTACGAAGCCGAGCGCTTACTACGGAAGCGCACTCGTAAGGTATGAGTATATACAAACACACTGTTTTTATGTCTTCAGCTTCTCGTTTTGTCGTACCCAGCCACTGCTAACCGTGTTTTCGTACATCTTGTTTACAGGGAGCTGTTGAATACTTGGTGAAATGGAAAGGCTGGTCGAATAAGTAAGCATTTTTTTTTTATTTTAACTGCGCAATAACGGCATTCATCCATGTGGCTGTGTGTGGGTATCATCGGATCTCAATTAATGGATCGCTCAATTGATTTCGCAGGTATAATTCGTGGGAACCGGAAGAAAATATCCTTGATCCACAGTTAATGGAGGAGCTCGATAGAAGGTGAGTTGATATACGCACGCAGGTTATTATTATTAACAATCATGGCGCAATCACAACTGTAATCGCCTCCGTGTGTCGGTATTATTCCGAGGTATTATTTTGACTCAATCGCCATGACGATGCTCTCTTCTCTTGTAGTTGCAGACGCCGCGAAGCACGTGAGGCCAACATTCGAAAGCGTAGGAGACTGCTTTTCAAGGTATGTTTAGGGTACTATCCCCCTTAAATCGTCGTTATTTTCATCGAGTTCGTTGCGCAATCTCTCCATGGTTTAATGTTTATTTATGAGTATTTATTAATTTTAATACGCAGGAATGGAAGCTCCGGAAACGGCCAATTGAAATCAACACGAGTCGACGCAGACGGACTACGCCTACACCGGAAGAAAACAACGGCACAGAAATTGCAGAGTTTACAATGAATTGTAAAAAACATAAAGGACAGTATGAGGAGGCTAGTGAACAGTCGTCGACGGAAAAAAATCAATGTCAGCAAGAGGCAGCAGACGAGATGAATGTTTGTCAACCGTCGAAGCCAAGCCCCGTGCAAATATCCGTGCAACACGAGGAAATGAACAGCGAAATGACGGAAAATCAAAGCGATAGAGTAGATTATACGGATAACCAGGTAGCAAAGGAGCAAAAGGCACGGATACCATCATTGTGGTGCCCATACAAAATGAGCGACGAAAATTGCAACGAAGTTGCTACAATGAAAAATGTGGCCAGCTGTAACAATTATGGCGAGTTCTACACAACGACCATGACATCTGTAAACACCCAAAGCGAAGTGCAAAGGGGCAATGACCACGCGAGGACGGTTTTGTCACGTGACCCAGGAATGAACGGGGAGATGAAAGTACCTAAACACGTTGATTGGCAGTACATAACAAGGTTGGATATTGACGAGTACGTGTGTCACCAACCAGACAGTCCCGGGTCGTGCATGAATTCGCCTATTGAAGGCGCGTCACACGGAGGAAATCTGGTATGTACGTTGCCTAGCGACACCGCAAGCAGCTCTGCGACACCCCTCGTGGACGTGTTCGTGGCCAATGTGACGTCACATGACGTAACAGTGACTATCAAGGAAAGCCGGATGCAAGATGGATTCTTCAAAATCTGTATGACGTAATTACTGCTAAATGAGATCTCAGATTGTAATAATTCTGTCTCCATGGCAACTACCGTCGGATAAAACGTGGAATTGATCGAGCGAAAGTCATTATTGGATGACGAATGCCTTGCCATTAGGTGAAGTCAATGGCTTGTCAGAGCATATAAATGTAACAGCGGGGCTTCGGTTGAGAAAGAACAATATTGTCCTTCCTTAATTGAAGGGCTTAGCGCTAACGATGGAATTCATTGAAAGAGTGTTTACAATATAAAATATATAGTGTATATAAATAATATAGACACTGGGTGAATCACCAACAATTATATATACGTTTATACATTAACATAATTTATATTTTTTATGTGGGTGGAGCAGGTCGGAGTGTGAGAAGTATATAGAATGCGTTGTAACACATCGTAGAATCGAGTATGTTTCATGAAAAACGATTTGGCGACGACTACATTGCGTTTTTGAAGAAAGTGTGTTTCTTTGTTAGTAGATACGTTAAGCACTTGTCATGCTTGTAGTATAAATAACCAATTGAAGAGATATGTCGATTTGTGGAAGTTATATAATGGACGGCCCAATAATACTGACTGACCGACACTCATGTGATATTATTACCAGTAAGTTAAGTAGTCCTAAAAATAGCCTCGAACAATTCGTGAAAGTTACCCACGTCGCTGACGATGACGTGTTTAATGAATCAGAGTAAAAAATCGTTTGACTTGCATTATAAATGTTAATAAATGCACAATAACATTGAATAGTTCGAGCGTACATTTTTATAACTTCATGAGTAATGGCAACAGTTTGACAGGAATGACTGACTTGTGTGTACCACTATGACCTGCTCGGCGAAATACACTTGTATGTCGTATTTACACTGTGACTTGCGCTATACTTTCGGTAAGGTATTTCTGTGTGTGTCACAGACTTGTATTGTAAAAAAAATGAAAAAAGCGTAACTTAAATTATCCTGGTTTCAAACTACTTTACGTAGCTATCGGCACAATACATCGTAAATTTACCTAATATAACGTAACGTAACTTGTACAATTCTGAACCGTATAATTGCATCTACAATTCACACGTAAAAGACGTGACAAATTGTTACGCTGTCATCTAGTTACTAACGTAACCCAGTGACATGCACTAAACAGTCGAATGTTAAGCCACTATTTTGGTATTTGCC